TGGACTAGTGATGCTGTTGTAAGATGATGGATAGTGATGTAGATAAAAAAAGAGTGGACAGTGATGGTTGTTAGAAGAAGGTGGACTAGTGATGCTGTTGTAAGATGATGGATAGTGATGTAGATAAAAAAAGAGTGGACAGTGATGGTTGTTAGAAGAAGGTGGACAATGATGTCGATAACGGATGTTATTGAATATAGCAAGAAGCCTAAACTGTCACATTCATTCTTTTGTTGCTGAACCAACTATCCTACGAATAAATTTATTTTCCAATACCTTTTTTTTCTTTTCTCACTTTTCATCCATCCTTATCTTATCTTTGATCTTATCAGAATAAAAATTATTTGAAATTTAATTAGGCATTGATTTTTAATTTTCGAATTGATCATTAATTAATAAATTCCCTTTTTATTATTAAGAATTGATAACAAAATATTTTCATTGATTATTTTAGATTTTTTCCATTATCACTACCTTATCATTAATCTATTTTTAGCTCAAATCATTTACTTTTAATAAAAAAATCTGTTTTCTTTTTCTTTCTTTTCCACTTATTTTTTTGTTGTATTTCGCAAACTCTCATCATTACTGATTATCATCATATTAGACATGATTCTTGCCTGAATTTTTTTTTACTTTTTTGCTATTTAATAGTGACAAATGTTTTATCATTCATTTAACTTCTCTTTCTCTAACAATTTCTCTCTATTCCAATAATATTTTATTTTTCATGCTGTCAAATTTTTAAGAATATTAGTAAAGTTTCAATCAAAGTTAATATTATTTTAATTTTAGGACAAATTAAAAGAAACAGGAATCGTTAATTAATTTTTTCAATGTTTCATTTCCTGAAATGCCTTCGTATATAAGCTGGCATCAAAGGAATTCAACGTTTCATATGTTTGCTATTTCATTATTAATAATATTCTCATTTGTATTATTACTAAGTGAATCTGCTTCACTTTCTAACTGGACAAAGCATTCTTCTGATTACGGTCAGTTAAATGTTATTATTGAATCCGAATTAACAACGATGAAAAGTACGACGACAATCACCAATGATTCTCATCCTAGAGATGATGTAAATATTCAACTATCGAGATTTTTTCATATCTTCTATACAAAGTAGATAGATAGATGACAGAATGATAAAACAAATTTAGATGACAGAACGATAAAATAAATTTAGATGACAGAACGATAAAACAAATTTCAAGTATCCCATATATATGTCACCATTACTGATATAGCAAACATATAAATATGAAAGTTAGCCCATATAAAGGAAAAAAATACAAAAAAAAAAATTTTATTTGCTCAAAAATTTTGCACTTGAAAAATGTAAGAGGCAATAATATTGAAAATAAAGTTGTCGGAAATTTTGAATATAATTTATCTGAAAATTAACCAAAATTAAATCGTCTAGAATTAACAAAAAAATTTTACTTTCTACTTTATCTGTTTGGTATAAAACAATTTAACTTTAATTTACTTTAAATAAGAATAAAAAATAAATTTTCATTGTCAATTATTGGCAATATGCGCATTACTAAATACTTATTACCTCATAAAGTGTTACCTTTTACTTTTGTGCATAATTTGGATAGTTGCAAGAAAAAAAATAGAAAAGTCAACCTAATATATTAGTTTGCCAATTAAGAATTATACTGTAACATAAAAGATTTGCGCAAGGTAATCAAAATATTCCAACTATGTTCTAAATTAAGTTGCAAGCAATTTATTACCTGCGCAATATCAATATGCTAGGTAATTGAAGTATTCCAACTATATTTGAAATTAACTTGCAAGCAATTTACTACCTTAAGCCTAAAAAGAAATATCCCGAATTCCTCCTTGCAATTTTAAAACAAATTATCCTGATATTTATAGAAACTAGCAAAGTTCAAATATTTTGTATCAAAATTTTGTTTGTATTTCGGGAAAAAAAACATAGCTGATTGATTTCAGTATGAATTAATTAAATTGAATTTGACAATGCCGCATCATAAATCATTCCATATGTTGGAAGATGAGGATGTTGCTGGAATTACTGATCAGGTTTATTCAAATGTTTCAAAAAATATTTCGGAGCAACAATTTCGTGCAATCTTAGAAGGAATACTTCAAAGGCATTTGGAATTGACACGGAGAAAAATTGCTTATCCATATATTGTCACCACAGCTAATAATTATGTTTATCCGAATAATGCAAGTAAGTTTTCTAGTGTCGATTTTTTTTAAATTTAATTAAATTGTTCATAATTTTTGTAAAATTTGATTTACCATCTTATTTGCTTGTGATTCAATAACAACAAATTGGAGACAATTTAAGATAAAATTTTAGTTGAAAGTTTTCTTTTTTTTTTGCCGGAAAAACCAAACAAGTGGAATTCGATTTCATGAAGAATGCCTAGTAAAACTAGCTATATAGTAGGATATGATGAAAATCGAAGTAATGAATAGATTGAGCAGAAAATATCAGAAACTTCTTCCAGAGAGCTAACATTATTCCTTCCTTGATCATTATAAGCATTTATGTCAACTACAAGTCATACTGTAGCAGAATTGATCCTGTCATCTTAAGGGTTTACGTTTAAAAAAAAAAAAAACGTTGGAAAAAGTTAAACATTAAAACGTTAAAGACCTTAATGTTAAAAAAAATAAAATTAATTAATTTTTTAAGAATTTTTTTTCAAATGAAAAATTTTGATTTTATTTATAATATCGTTGTGCTTTACTTAAATTATTTATTTCATATTTAAAAATTTTCTTTCTGATTTCTTAATGTGGATTTTTTTTTTTTAATTTATAATTTAGTAGGTTGTCAAATGGTTTGTCAGATTGTCTCATTTTGCATCATAGCCAGTGGTATTTGTTTACTATGGACATGTGGCTGTTGCGCACATACAAGGACAACTAATGATGACAACGAGAACAGCAACGGTAAACATCTTCGAATCAGTACATAATTGTTAGAGTCTTTTTTTTAATATTTCAAATTTTAAAGAAACAAAAAAAAATTAATACCTTAAAAAATTGTCTAATAAATAAATTGTAAATGAAATCTTGCTTTGATTAGCTTTTCAGTTTTATCATTTAATAAGGCTCCTTTATGTAGCTATTATATAAGTATCATAAATTAATTAGCTCTAATCATCATTTTAGCATGTTCGTTATTCTTGGCTAATTTTTATAACTTCAAAATATCTTTCATATCTTAAATTTAAGTGATTTATCAATTTTTTTCCTCCTTCTGAATTCTATAAATTTAGAAATATGATTCAGGACTAAATGATGGTTCTCTAATATTTCAGGTGTTAATCCAACCAGTATTCCAGCTCCGATTGATTACAGTAAACCATACATGATTAAATGTGATTCAAAAGGCTCATGCTATGCTAGTCCATTGAATGATGATGAAATACCACCATTACCTAGCTATAATAAAGCGCTCACCTGTCCAACTCATCCATTTCCAATAATTCAGGAATTATCCAAATCAGCTTGCATTTGATATAAACCGGACAAATTTTTGATCAAAATTATGGATTCAGTTAAATTCAAACAATAGAAACTGTCAAAAAATGTCTTTTTTAGGGAATTATCAATATTTGTGAAAAATGTCAAAATGTTAATTTAAGTTTTTTTTCGTTTTAAAATATCTTTCAGTGTTTTTAAGTCATTGCATTCGTCAGGGCTTTTAAAAATTGTATATAAATTGTATTTTAAAAAAAAAGTTTTAAATTGTATTCAAACACAATGCATTTTGGGTATAAAATTGAAAAAAAAAGACGCTTCATCAAAAGTAAAATTAAATTGTCACAAATATTTCGATGGACCATTTTAAAATTTGTCCTTGCTAAATTGATAAGAATTGATAATGCAAGATTTTTTACATTATCAGATTATTGGCTAGCCTTGAATATATATATATTTTATAATAAAAGTAATAACCATCAAAATCAATGTATTTTGATCAAAGGCGAAATAACTTTGTTAATTTTTGTATATATGAGAACCCGTGCTTTGAAATTCGAGAAATTTTCGGGGAACATTTGCTATAATCTATTTACTGGCCGTAAAAATATATTTTCTACAAAATATTTTCGAAAATATGGCAGATATTGCATTGCAAAATATTACAGGCCAATTTGTTTAACCTTTGAACCATCAATTATTGGGCACTGTCCTAGAGAATTAGGCCTTTCTGTCAATTGAAGGCATTACAATTTTCTAAATATTATCTTGATTTTCTAATTATACTTCTTAAATGTGACAGTTTCACTAGGATTCAAGAAGTTCTAGTAGCAGTTGACCATTCAACAATGACAATGACCTATTTTTAATGCAACTTCGATTTTAGAAATACTTTAGAGCACCTTTCCTTTCTCTCTCTCTCCGTTCTTTGTTGGTCAATAAATCGTGGTCATTGTTGATTAAAAGTAGTCCGTGATGACTGCTTGGTTAAAAAAAAAATGACATTTTTATACGACAATACTTTAACTGCTAATGAGTTCAAAAGCCGCCTATTAATTCACTTCTCTAGTTTACTTGAAATACCAAAAAACTTTATAATGACTGACATTAGGTTATCCTTACTTGCAAAGCAAAAAGATTCAGCGATTGACCTCAATTGGTCATTTTATCTCATTTGGTCATTATCCATTTCATCATTAACATTCTTAACTCATCTTATTGATGCATTTATATTCACATTTCATAAAAAATGTTTTCCTAGCAATTATTTTTACTTCTGTAACATAACGTAAATTCATAAAAGAAATAATTGATACAGTATCGATCGATGAGGAAGGAAGGAATTTATGGCAGATTGATTGTGAACAAAAGAATTTTAATTAAGTGAACAATTAGTAATGAGGTCAACCTCTAAGGTTAACCATGAGTAAATACTTTAGTTTCATACTAAATATTTTTATGGTTTTTGGTTCTACTAATAGTTGCTTCAAATTTGTTGTTTATCTAATAATTAAAATGTGGTCGGTGTTGCCTTGAATAGTAATCTTAAGAAGAAATTTCTTTAACATAATTAATAATAATAACTAATCATTCGTTATTCTTTGAATCCTCATCGAATGGCTTATTTGTATACTTCTACTTAACATATTATCTTATTTTTAAAATATTTTCAAAATATTTAAAATATTTAAAATATTTTTCTCATTTTTAAAACTATTTCAAAATAAATGTCTATTGCGTTATGAATTAAGCCAATATTTTTGCTATTAACTATTTTGGATTCTAATTACCCTAATAAAGACTTCTTTAATTAAATTGGGGAAGGGAAAATTGGAGAAAATTAGAAATCCTGATCTCATTTTGTTTTGTTTTCTTTTAATTAATGATCATCCCCCTCAATTTTGTCAAATATTTTATCAATGTTATCCAGTAAAGGGTCTTAAAAAAATATGACATTAACTAATTCGATTGTATATTAAACATTTTTCCAAATAAATCTACGAAATTTTTCAAATTTTGGTAGACTAAATTAAATTTTGTCATCAAAAGTTTTCTTTTCAAATACATTTCCTCCGAGAATTTGCCAATTTATTTGACGTTAATGACAAATGAAAATATCATTCTCTCCCAGAAGATATCATTTTAAAATATCATTCATTTAAGAAGCAAAGGATTAGAATAAGAAAATTTTCGCCATCTTTCATCATATGCTACAGAACTTTGTCCATTTTCATTTCCTTCATTAATATGGAATATAACAGATAACAGATAAGCAACAGCTGATAAGCAACTTCTCTAGTATTTCCAATTGAATTCTGTAAAATGATATGGTTACGATTGGTTTAAGTATTAGTCTAAATTTATTTTTCCTATTTTTCTCTCAAATGTGCATGCTAAAATTGAAAATTTTCTCATTTCTGCATTTTGTAAATTTAAATTGTATAAAATTGTAAGTTTAAATTGAGCGGGCATTTTATTTATACTGTGTGCTGCAAGGTGGACGGATATTTGAAGCGGTCTGTGGTACTTACTGTTAACAGATACTAAAAGTGATTTAATATGTTCTAGAATTGGTTCATACCAGGTTTAGATGACAAATAGAGAAATAGGGGAAATTTTACACTATAAATAAAATGTAATATCATTCAGCTAGACTAGCTCTTGCTTAGATAAGTGGATAAAGTCTCGAAATTTATGGTAAGTTAAATTAATGAGTACGATAAGTTTACTATAAAATATTTGTTTGAAAATGTGATATCATAAAAGGACGGCGATATCATGAATTGATTTAATTTCAGATGACATTATCTTAAAAAATTTAATCTTTGGTCAGTGACCAATATTTAAAGTCTAAATTTATCCCTTAGTATCACAAATGTAAAAGTTTCTCTTTAGTCTAAATCTTGATAATATATTTGGTTGTTTATTCGAAAAAGAAAAAACAACAAGTGGGAATAATTACAGTGGAAAAGAAATAGGAAGGCGGTGACAATATGGCTGATATTCAGGTGATTCCAAAAGAAGAAGCGGTAAATTTGCTCGCAGATGGCTTACATCGTAACATTAATTCAGAAGTTATTACTCAAATATTACTGAAAAATGACAGGATTCTTTATTATTGCATTTTTTTTTTCTTAGCAATAGGTTCTATATAAATGAAGAATGGAAGAAGGAATCAATCTAGATAGAGTGTAAAGGAAGGATTGATCTAGGTAGAGAATAGGGGACGAGATGAATTGATTGAAATATAGAGTAAAAGAAGGAATCAATCTAGATGGAGAATAAGGAAAATTAAATCAAAAAAACAATAATAATAATAATAAATGAATACCTCACGCTGATTGTTTAAAACAATAAATTTTGATTTTGATCACAAAATGTCAAATTCTGCTTCATCTTTTAGATATTTTCAAAAAAACTAATTAAATCTTAATTAACTTTATAATTAGATCTTTTACAATCAAATTCGTATAACTTCGATCGGTCGCAATTCCCTTAAGTTAAATTTTTTTTCCACAGCACTTCTACTTCCCTATTAAATAATTTTTGATATGTTTCAAAAAAAAAAAAAGCTCAGAAAAAAAATTAGTTTGAAAAAGTTTATAAATTAATGAATTTCAAATATGACAGGAAAAAGTCAATTTAAAGTATGCAAAACGAAACCAGCCATATGGGCGGCATGCTCCACAATACTTCAAAGAGGGACAAATAATTGATTACAAATTTCGAATCGACAAAATGATTGGCGGTGGTGGCTTTGGTCAAATTTATCGCGTCATTGATGAAGTAATCTCTTCGTTGGAATTTTACTTTGAAAGAAGGATTTCAAAGAAATTTCCCGTATGAATTAGTAATTTGTATTACAAATTACTTTCGTGACAATTTGCGCATACTTTTAAAATAGATTAATAGCTGCTAATTATGAAGCTTTTATCATACAAGTATGGAAAATTCTAAATTATATTTTTAGGTTCTATAAATGACCTCTTACTCTCCTCCCACCTCATGATTGCTATCATATATTGTCACCAAAGTTTTCAGCGTACCAAATCGGTACTAGCAATAAAAATTGAACCAGATGATCATGAACCGGGTCGAATGATACTCGAGCAAAAAATAATGCTAAAGCTTCGAGGGACGCCACATATACCACAATTTGTAAATTTTTCTTTCTCTTTAGAAAAAAAAAAAATTTATTGCAAAATACATTTATCGATTAATCGCCGAGAAAATTGCTATCTCGAGATTTACTGTTATAATTTACAATTTTTTTCTTTTTTTTTTGTTCAAAGTTATTTTGGTGACATTTATTGATTTAATAATTTTTCTTTGTTTTATAATTTCAAATTACAAATAGTTGTTCTATAATTTCAGTCTGACTTCTTTTTTTCCCTTTTTACTCTCTTTTTGATTTTGTTAGATGTGAAATTAAAATGTTTAAAGATTTTAGTGTAAGGATCAGTCGCCATTGATTGTACTTCTTTATTCATGAAAAGCTACAGTATTCTTGTTATGTTTTAGTTTTTTTTTTTTTTTTTTTTTTTTTAATGAAAATTTATTGCGTAATTTTTGTTAAATTTTTTTCTGACAAAAATGAATAATTAAATTATTTTTGAAATTAAAAATGCAAAATTAATTGTAATATTTTGACTTTTTAAACAATACTATTACAGTATGCTAGTGGTAATTTCTGTGGTTACAATTTCATTGCTATGCAAATATTGGGGAAAAATTTGAGTGAACTAAGAAAACATCAGCCAAAAAGACGTTTAAGTATTTCAACAGTTTCACGTGTGGGATTGCAATCAGTGATAGCATTGAAAGCTGTCCATGACATTGGATATATACATCGGTGCATAAATTTGTCACCTGTAAAAAAGCAAAAGCAGCATTAAATTAAAATTTATTTTCAAAGATTAAAAGTCTGACCAAATATATGTTATGCAGTGAGTCATTTCATTACTTATTCCTATAATTTATATTTGGTATTTACTAATTATTTCGAAGATTGGCTAATTAGCCGTCTAAACATGCATGATTCGTTTAATTAAGTCAATTTAACAAATAAGTTCAAGACAAAAGGTACCTATCAAAGGTTATGGTAATTTACCAGATCATACTTCTCTTACTAAATTTGAAAAGTTTCGAAATTTTCAGAGATGTAAAACCTTCAAATATTTGCATTGGACTGTACTCGCATAAACGAACAATTTATATAATCGATTTTGGTATGGCTCGACAGTATCGTTTTGATGATGGTATGGTACGAAAAGAGCGGTATTATGCCGGTTTTCGTGGAACCATGCGATATGTATCCGTTACGGTTCACGAAAGACGAGATCAGGTCACTTTACTTTACTATACATAAAGGTTTAGATCCGAAATTTAAGGTGATGCTAATTTAGATAATTAAGAACTGCGTACTTGGAGACTTTGAACTTTCTTTTCTGAAAATGAAACTTTAATATCACGCCTTTTTGAATCTTTGTTTGTCCTTCCATATCATTTTTTTTAAATTATTTAAGCTATTTAAATTTAACTTTATTTATTTATTTTCACTTGACTTTATTTGTTTTCTTTAAATTTATCTAACGTTTTAAATTGATTACTAAGAATGATGAAGTGATATTGTAACCATGATGGACAAGTTCTGAATGTCAGTTTGATATCGTCAGGAATTACAGATTGTAAAACCGGTTTTCGATGAATTTTTTTGACTGTTATGATTTTGTCGTACTGTAATTATCTTTAGGGTCCTGTTGATGATTTCTGGAGTTTATTTTACTCACTGATTGAGCTTATTCAAGGTTCTTTACCATGGAGTGCATTTGTGGAACCGAATGAAATTGCAAAATTCAAGAAAAATGTCATTTTTGATGAATTTGGAAGGTTACATAATACAGGAATTTTTCAAACTTTTCGTACCAAACTTTTTTTTCTGGTGGATAGAAAATTTCTGCCGAATTTCATCAAATCTTGTTTTGCAAGATGTGTAAAAATGATTCAAATATCGTTTGAAAGAAAATAAAACTTTTGATATTTTCAAGGAATTTTTTTCTGCCTCTTTTTTTACCTAATAATGAATTTTGGTTTAATTGCTTGTTTAATGAGCATTCAATATTGCTGCTAAATTGCATTGACGGAAAGTTTTAAAAAAAAAAGTGTTTCAATGTTTTGAAATGAATTGGAAGGAAAATTATCCGGAAATAATAGAAAGTAATGAATGGAAAGAATATATAAATAGGAGAAATAAAATTCGCAGAGATTGAAAATTAAATAAAACAATGAAAGCTGCAAAAGAGAGTTCTTTTTATTGAACCAAATTGATCATTATTTTATAAATTTACCTTTAACTCTTTCCCAATCATTTATTGATTGCAAGCATATTTCATGAATAAAATATGCTACTATTAAAAAATTCCTTGTAAAATGTAATTTTTATGATTCAATTAATTTTTCTAAAATTCCTATTTAAGATTGGTGCCAAAAGAAATGGAGACAATAATGAAACATCTGTCAGAGTTGCATTATCATCAAATTCCCAATTATGAATTTCTTAAAGGCGAGCTCAACGTAAGTTATTAATAATTCACTATTCCAATATTATGTTTAGAATTAAAATTTAGTTAAAAAATTTTTTGTTTCAAGAAATTTGACTGCATTAACTCAACAATGCACACATTTTGATTGATATAAAAGCTGATAGTGTCATAAATTGGAAAGGGTGAAAAGTTTGATAATTTGATCTCAAAATTTATGTTTTAAAAAGTTCAATACGCAAAAATCTATGAACTATCAGCAAACTACTTTTTCATCTGCAAAATTCAAAATTCAAATATTCGAAGAAACTGATAGCAAAAAATTTGAATTTTTTCAAAGAGCATAAAATGACATGAATAAATATATTTCTTTTTTAATTTTTTTTTTAGCTTTTGTTTTTGATATATTCCTTTTATTCAAGTTTGAATTTTTTTTTTTGTTAAAATAAAATTGGAGAAAAAAATTTACAGAAAATGCTACCAAAAAATATACCAGAAGATTTGCAATATGATTGGGAAATAGAACAAAATGATATGAATTGAGTCATAGAAGTTATACAAACTATAAAATATCAATTTATGTTTAAAAAAGAAAGAACGCAATAAAAGTGAAACAGTCATAGAAGTAATTACAAGCGGATTTTGTTTCAATCTTTCCTTCCATTTTTATCAAAATAAAACGAGAATTTGAAAAATTTTTTTAAATTCCCAATTTGTGCCATTTTTATTGAGAAGAAGTTGAAGCGATCTTTTTCATTTCAAATTAAAAATACCAATTTATTTGCTTTTCCTCATTTTAAGAATGAAAACAAAAACTTTCTTTTTTGCTATAGCTATTTAGCTATTTTTGCAATTTAAAAAGCAAGAAAATGAAATGCATGATGCTTGCAGAATTTCATGCTTTTTCAATAGAGGCAGATAAATTCAAATATTTTTGGAAAAAAAAGAATTAGTCTTTTTTATCTATAATTACCTCGATAATTTTGAAGTGTTTGAAAATATATGACACGATTGATTTGATCGAAACTTTATACAGCACTCGTTAGTCGGGATGATTCTTTTGGTAACTGGAAAAGTGTTCCGGATAACCTACCTTAACCAACATATTTCCTTAAATGTATTCCACAATAGATTTCTCACATTTATATTCAATATCATACACTTTGTCCCCTGATAACATTACTGGAAAGAAGTCGCAAATGTCGCATTATCATTTTAATGCTGCATGCCTGTTGGATTTAATATGAATTTAATTGGATTAAATGTTTGGTTGGATTTAATGAAGCAATAAATTGAAAAAAAAAGTGCAATTTACCGATGTAAATCAGTGAATTATTTAATGAGTACTTATGTATTAGCATAAAAAAATACCTGTATACGGTATCAGGGTTAGGCTATTTGAGCAAGTTAGCTTATCAGTTATAATGCCATTTTCATTTTTATAATTTCTAATTAGTGCACGAACTTTTAACAAAAAAGAAATATTAAAAACATATTAAAAATACCAAAAACATTAATTAAAAAGAAGAAAACAACCTAATTGAAGTTATCGAAATATTACCAAATGATTTCTTAAAGTGCAAAATAGCTTAATTGATTAATTTTAGTCGAAGTACTTCTGACCGCAATAATTAATTGATTTTAAAATATAACTTGGCGTAGTTTCAAAAAATACTGCATAAGTTATAGAAAAAGTGTGATCTGTTTGTCAGTTAGGATCAGCTGATTGATAAGACTGTAATTAATTACTGATTTAATAGCGGTTGAAAGAATAACTTCAATCATGTTGTTTTCCTCTTTTTAATTAATGTTTTTTGAAAAGGTGATATGGTCTTATCAATCAGCTGATCAGCTGATTAGAGAGATTATTGAACGTAGGATATGGCTAACATTCAGTCAATATCTCTTTTGAAATTTGATTTCTTTAGGCAGAAGTTGAATTTTTCATTTAGTCACATTTATGAAAATGTCAAAATTTGGAAAAGTAAACAAGAAAAGGATAAACAAGTTGATATAAACGCTATATAACTGATTTGCTATTGACACGAGATGTTATGGATCAGGACAAGGTGATCCATGTTATGGATCAGAACAAGGTGATTCATAACACCTTGTTCAACAATCAAACCATATGGTACTAAAAAGGATTCGATAACGGAATAAGCATTGTTTAATTCAACAATTAATGAGAGAATGCTATATTTCATTTAAATACTTGAATACTGAAATTTCATACTTGTGCATAATTTATATAATTCGCTTTAATTTCACAATGATAAATTTATTCGAAATATTTAGAATTCCAAGTATAAATCCAAATTTTAACAAATATTTTGCAAATTGTTTTCAATTTTATTTGAAATATAAGATTTCGAATATATTTAAATTTACACATTTAAATACCGAAAAATTGTATGAAAATTTTACTAAGAGATCTATAAAAAGTTCAGCAGAGATATGTTGAGATTTTTCAACCATTGAATACTTTTTGATGATTGATCGGTATCAGGTTAATCCAGTTATACCAGCACATGATCATTATTATGTGGTAAGACAGTAATCTGGAAACGATTCCATTTCATCTTGAAATTGTAGAAAAAAAAAGGCAAAGAAAAGATTACTGTCTTGCTTATTAGTTGTTACTCATTAGGAACAAGTTTAATAATTATTGCTATGAGACTATTATCATACTATTTAATTTATTTATTATTTTTTAAAAATTCACTACAAGTAATGAACCTTTAAAAAATAATTAATAAATTCCAACCAACGAGTAAGAATTTCAGTAATCAAGTTATTCCTTTCAATTTCTGGATTTCTGGATTTCAATTTCTCTTATTAACTATAATTGGTAAGTTAACGGCTAAATCTTGAAGTTTCGTTGAGCTTTATAATTTAAAAAAAAAAAGTCCTTGAGTTAGCTATTTATTGCTAATACCACTGCATATTATGGAAATATTACTTTGAATAATAATCCCATTGCATTGATAATAATTGTTTTAAAAAACTTTTAGTTATGGTAATTGGAAAAAAAAAGTTTCTTTTAGCAAAATAATATATTGGAATAATTTAGAAAGAACAGATGCAAAAATAAATTAGACCTGATTTTTAACAAAATTTGAATAACTGATTAAATGAGTTTTATCAATCCTGGTATTTTTTTTTTTTTTGCTGTAGCTGAATCACAAATAAAGCTACCTGAAATTTTCAACAATTAGCTAAGTTTCGTTTATTTCAAAACATCTCGTTAAATAAATCAAGAAATATTTTTGCTTTTGTTGAAAATTTAAATTTTTTCTAATTTTGACAAAATTTGTAAAAAAATTTGAGAAAAACGAGAATGAAAAATCATAAGACTTTGCTTGTTACGAATGCTGGCTTGTAAATTCTTATTTACTTCCACAAACTTTTTGGCTAATTTAATTTTGGCTAATTTTAGTTGCTGTTTGGAGCTTACAATCAATTGCTTCATAGTCTTTCTATTATTATTTTTCATGAATATATATATTAGAAATGTTCGTTGTCTATAAATGATAATTTTTTTGGAAGAATGATTGGGATGATAAGGGAAATGAAAGTAAAATAAGCAAATATTATTAATTGTTTTCATCAAAAATTGCTAGAATGATTTATGTATTATTTCTAACTACTGATAAGATGATAAAGTGTTACAAAAACATTATGATAATACCAGAAATTAATTAAAATATCAAGAACTAGCGTCATTAATGATAAGTCAACTTATGATAAGCTGAATGATAAAGGTTGGAATATTAAAACTTAAAATATTAAAGCCAAAATAGAAATGATTTTCTCTAACACCAATTAATATTTGAAATTTCGATTATCTTACTTTCTTCAACAATTATATTCGTGAAATTTAGATAAGTAATTAATGAATTATGTGCAATTAATTGACATAATGCATATAATGATAGAATAATTACTACATTTATTTTTACTTACGACAGTCGTAATAACTAAGATGTAATAAGCGCAAATTATAAAGATATCTATTTTAAAGAATAGCCTAAAGTATTGTTAATTTTGTTTTCATAACAGAGGTATGAGAAATTTTGGCAGTTAATAGATATGCAAAGAATTATGAGTAATACTTAGCGTAGGTCTTCAGACACGGATGTGTCACGTGTGATAACAGTAGGGACGTGAAAACATGTTGCACATTAAGTACTTTAGACTTATTATGAAGATAGAAATAAATTGTTTCACGTTATTCTCAGTGAGCATTTTCAGTATTTAACTCTAAATGATAGAACAGAAATTTCCATACATACTTAACATTTACTTGTTGCATACTTTAATGACTCATTAGTGATAACATCAATAATAACGATTAGTGATAGTATCAGTAATAATAGCGATAATACCAATAATAATAATAATGGCAACATCAATAACATTAATAGTATTGATAAGACCAATAATAATAATAATGTCATTAGTGATAATATCAATAATAATGTTGATTTCGAATCCTTGCTATATATTATTTTCAATTTGAGAACTAATACGAGGATTAGTTACACTAAAAATCTTTTCATTGTTTTATTTTGCCCTTATAAAGCTATTATACTTATAAGAATAGTGATAAGAAAACCTATCGTTTTGCCCTTATTTAGCTATTATACTGATAAACATATATCGAATTGACGATGATTATTGGTTATGATAGCAATTTATAATGATGATGATAAAGAAAATGTAAAATTGAATTATAGAAAACATATTATGACAGGTAATCATTTAATAATCACTGACTGATTATTTTTAAATTAATCTATTATTGATTAAAACTTAATAGAGAAGAAAAGATTGGAACAATTGAGTGCAATAAAACTGTTTGATCTATGACAATATATGCTTTTAATATTGAATAGTTAATAGAATAATGACATTCCAGGTGACATAAAATATTCAACTTTGATTGGGCAGAACAAAATGAACTGCAAGATATTTGACAAAGTTTGGAAATGGTTTTCATTAAAAAAAAAAATATCGAGAATATGCTCCTAGTAGAGTATTTCTTGGAAGTTTTTAAAATTTTCATATTCAAATTTTCTCTTTTATTGAATGATATATAAGAACGATAAGTGATTGTATGTTACTTTAACTTTTATAATTCTTAAAATTGGCTTTGAAAGTTTCTACTCTTTCTTATTGTTATAGCAGTAGGAATTAAATTGACGGTGAAAAGATGACAGCAAATATCCTACAAATGGAATTGCAAAATTTCACTCATGCTGAGGGTATGATATTTATAAGCTAATATTATAATTACCAACTCCTTGTACGGGATGCTTAGATGAAATTTCAGGATGAAATTTCAAAGTATTACTTTAACAGTTAATCAAATTTAAATTTAAATATTTCAAAAAAAATAGTATTACATGATGTTTGATTTGTTTGTTTGATTAATATTAAGAATTGTTTATTTTGCACATTTACAAACTGTTCTAAAAAAAAAAAAATAGGCGCATTTATTAAAATTCAAAAAAAAAATGAAAATTACAAAAAAGCATTTTAAAATTTATTTAATGCTTAGTTCCATATCATTTCTATAGCATTGTCATGTGTGCTATGGAAAATGGCGCAAAGTTTATTTGTATTAATCATTTTACCATCCCTACAAATGTGTTGTCGAAAGAAGAAACGTAAAACGAAAAAGACCGATGAAACGACAACAATGCCAGCACAAATTTCAAATGAAACAACTGGTACTGCTACAAGAACCGCTATAGAAGCAAATCAACGAAAGACTGTTAGTGATAAAAGATATTTTATTAGGAATGAGATATGAATATGGTGAAATTTTGAAAAAATGAAAAATAAAAAATTTGGAAAACCAAATAAGAATATTTTAAATACAACAAGCTCAGATATATATATATATATATATATATATCGATCTAAAGATATTTTTTGAAAAATTTGTTTGAAAATAAAAAAAGCAATATTTTATTAATTTTAAAAATGAATAAATTATAGGGGAAAAAAGCAAACAATAAAATTGAAAATGCGAAAACGATTCAGAGGGTACTTTTCTTTTCGTATGCAAATTTTTTTTAGTATTTCAAAAATTTGAGTTTCCTCCTAAAATTAATTATTTTGAAAGAAAAAATTAGATTGGAATTGTGTTTAGAGAATAAATAATACATAAAATAGAGATAATAAAATTTTTGCGCCTGAAATGATGTTCACATTGAGTGTATGCAATAAGGATAAGCTAATGCGACATTTTTGCTTTTACAGGATTACATTGAATGTTAGATTGGTTGATATATGGTTTTATTTACAATCTTAAAAGATTTTTTTAATTTATCGATTTAAATGGGTAATGTTTAATTAAAGAAATTAAAAATGAGAAAGAAGGAATGAAATTGTTGCAGAAAGAAGAGCAACGAATAGATGATCCAACTCAAATGGAAGGATCTGATGAAAGTGATCGAGGGTGAGTGCTTAAAATATTCCTCTATAAATCGATTTAAAGTATACAAATATGTTTAATCGTTTTAAAATTACTTCAGTACTTCTCTTATCCGATCCTATCAAATTTAAAATTAAAAATTTAAATTCAACATTGAATTCAAACTTAATTCCAGTAATGTTTGCAACTTTTATGAAGAAAAAAAAAATGATGCCATTGCTGGTAATGTTATCTTTTGACATAAGTTTTGATTTGAACAGTTTTTTAGTCCAATTTTGCAATATCATCCAAATTTGTTATCTCCTCAAAGAATTGAATGATGAATTAAATTATTTTAATTACAGCAAAGCGGATATTATATCGATGAAAAAAGTTAAAAATATGGGTAATATTGATGAAGTTCGTAAGGTATTCATTGATATTTATCATCCTTATTTCCTTAACAAATGATTAGCCTAATTTGATGAGTAAATGAAGTTGATGGATATATATATATTATCCAAGAAAAATACTTCTGTAAAGGAAATTTGTTTATTTATAGGAAAAGAAAATGGAAATGGAAAAGGCAGCAGAAGAGATTAAATCTGTTCATGAAATGGACGATGAAAAACCGCTCAATGCTGTGACATATTCAAATTTGCATGTTCGAATTAAAGAGAAT